CCTCAGTAAGAGATAAACAGAAGCACTCAGCCCCCTCTATGCCAGGGATTTGCTGTCTTAGGCCTGGTGAGGGTTATGCAGACAACAGGAGTCATTATGATTTCCTGATTGTGACAGCCATGGCATGTCCTGAAGACAGCATTTCACGGCATTCCTCCCATGCTCCTCCTCTTGCATTCTTCCCACCTCCTCCAGTCTCTGAGTCTCTGAGACTCACTGCAACATGAAAATGGAAATCTCTATTTCAAACAATACAGTGTGGATTGGGAAGGACAAACCCAGCCTGTTTCTGTCACCTGCAGAACCTCGAGTGTATGTGTCTGAGGCTTTGTCTGTGTTGGTGTTTTAGCTTCTGTTTGTAGGTATTGAAACTAGAATGGAAGTCAAGGCAGGGGAAAACATCTTAAATAAAGGGCAAGAGTAACAAAGGGAAGGATAACACTGGAGCTTTGAAAGGAGAAGTGGAGTGTGTTTAGAAAAGCAGGATGAGTAGAAGGGATCATGAGAACTGGGAAAACCAAAACTAAAGTCTTCTGAAAATGCCCTGTGATGGCATTATTCCCTCTGTTGTTATAGAAGCTGGTTAAATGCCCCAGTTATGCTACTTATATAAATTTGGAGAAATGAAAAGCAGCCTAGCAAACATGAAACCATCATGGGTTTCCTGGTGAAAAGATGGAAGAGGGGTAAGGTGGAGTTAAAAGGGATCATAGGGAGAAATTCATGATACATAAGAGTGAGTTTCCTACAAATATGTCTCCATAGCAACCACTGAGCTACAGACAGGTAGTATCAAGTGATGTCTCCATTGCAAGCCCCTTGTGGCCTGAGCACAGTGAATCTGTGAAATGAGTGAAATTCAGAACAGCCACAACTATTCCCATCACAGGGAAAGAGAGTTGCTAGATATGCAGAGTGACTCTGACACTGTCCAAAATCACATCAGGAAGAAGCCATGTCCATCCTAGGTAGTGCCACAGATTGAGCTCTTATATGGAGTCACAACTGTGTGTGGTGATTTTAATTTCACATTAACACTGAAGAGACAAGACAGTATGGAAACACAGCTTGTGCCCTACATTTGCTGATAAAGGAAGTAAGTTAAATGTGGTGAATCCATAATATGAAAAGGGGGTACACAGAGCTTCCTTATTGTGTTGATTTCTGTAACTGTCCTCTATCTTTCATGTCTTATATCTGCTCTGAGCATTTCCTTCTGGCCAGTTCCAACTCCAGAGCATCTACAGCAGGAAGACATGCAAATAAGGCTTCTCTGTGCCCTTAAAAACCAGCCCTGCCCAGACTCTGCAGCTCTGGCAGAAGAGCCCAGCCCTGGATTGCCAGATCCTCACATTCAGTGATTACCACTGTCCACAGACTATTCACCATGGACATGGAGATTACCTGGATTTTCCTTGTCTTTATTTTTAAAGGTCAGTTATGTAGATGAGATTGTGTGTGCCATGTGTTTATGAGAAAAATAGTTGTTTGGCGACAGTTTGACTAGTATTCTCTGTGTTTGCAGGTGTCCAGAGTGAAGTGCATCTGGTGGAGTCTGGAGGAGGCTTGGTGTAGCCTGGAAAGTCCCTGAAACTCTCCTGTGCAGCCTCTGGATTCACCTTCAGTGACTATAGAATGCACTGGGTCCGCCAGGCTCCAGGGAAGGGGCTGGAGTGGGTCGCAGACATTGAATATGATGGAAGTAGCATCTACTATGCCGACGCCGTGAAGGGCCGGTTCACCATCTCCAGAGACAACGCCAAGAACACCCTCTACCTGCAAATGAACAGTCTGAGGTCTGAGGACACGGCCACATATTACTGTGCAGCAGACACAGTGAGTGAGTGTTACAGAGAGCTCAGACACAAACCTCCCTGCAGGGCGCTCATGACCAGCAGGGGGCGCTGAGAGCACAGAGCTCTGGGTGACAGAGTTCCAGCCTGTTGAGAGTCCTAGAAGATGTGGAAGGCCAGACTCTGTGTTTAGCCAGGCTGCCCATAGAGATTCGACTACAATATAGTGTATAATAAACCCTGAAGTCTCCAAATGTTTATTCAACTTGTTTTCTTTGCCATATGTGTTTTGTATTTAATTGTTATAGTGTTTTTGTCTCTCTCTGTATGTCTGTGTCTGTCTCCCTCTTTTACTGTTTCTGTCTGTCTCAGTCAGCCTTTGTGTATCTGTCTCTCCATTCATGTTAGTGTGTGTGTGTGTGTGTGTGTGTGTGTGTGTGTGTGTGTGTGTGTGCATGTTGATATGAGATGTCTTCATCTATCAGCCTACAGGATAATTTTGAAGTAAGTTCCATCACTTGGCCTGGATCTCACCATCTGTCTAGACTAATTTACCAGAGAGTCCCAAGGATCACACTGCCTCCATGTCCCAGAGCTTGGCTTACTCAGTGGCTACCACACCTATCTCTTTTTGTAGTTGTGCAGAACTAAACACAGATCCATTCTCTTATGTGGTATGAACTTGAAAGACAGCTATTTCCATGGCGCCATTATAGAAGAGTTTTAAATGTAGGATAAACTCTAACTTGACCAAATTTCAGAGCCTCACACTGGGCTAAAGTGAGTCTTTCTAGTTATCTGAGCCAGATCCTGAAGAAGCAAAGAATCTGTGAGACTGTGGAAACCTAAACTCAGGGCAGAGTCAGTAAGAATCCCTGGTGAGGGCACTGTTTGGGGTTCAAGTTAGAGTCAACATGGATATCAGGAAGGCCTGTGACACATGAACACAGAAAGACCTTCAAGATCTTCATCATCCTCATACAAACCACTTACAACAGACCCAGCACTGAGCAGGTGTGGTGCTGGTAATAACTGTGTGTGAGGCTCCAGCACTGAGACATGAGGCCAATGAAGCTGGTGATTCTCACTGAGCTGCAGTTACCTGCTAACAGCTCCTAACCCACTCCACAGGTAACGTGTCTTTTCTTCCTCTGACTTATTTGTTATGGTTTATTTTGTATAGTTTCCCCAGAATTTAATGAGAATAATGAATTGTCTCTTAACATATTAATTCCTTTTCTTTCCTCCAGGCTTCAAATGTCTTATTTGCAGAGCTATCACAGGCGAAGATGTAAAGGACTTGGGACTCATTCTGAGTATGGGTTCTTCATCTGTGGCTCAGAAGTAGTCAGTGTTAGGCCCAGCATGAGCCTAATTTTCAGAAAGGATGAAGAGAACTCAGGAGACAAGATACCATCGATGCAAAATCGCAAAGGTTTATTTTAACCTTCGCGCAATGGTGTCACCCCTGCTGGTCAGCAAAGAGTGGCCCTGGGAGACAAAGGCCTTGGGTTTTTAAAAGACAAGGCACTGTAATTTTAAGGTTGCAGTCTTGGAAATTCAAGATTGGATGAGGAATCTATAAAGTAAGATAATTGGTTAGTCTTAGGTGCTCAAGCTTGGCCAGTCCTGCCAAGTGTGGATGCAGCTGCAATTGAAGATGGGGGTGGTTAGCTCATCCTTGAAGATTGGGGCTGCAGGCTTTTGAACGGAGGTCAGAGTCTACCAGAAGAAGGATTGAGGCCATCTGGGTTGATTGCTAAGAAACACTATCTCGAAGACAAGGGTCTGGTCATTCTTTTTGCTGAGTGAAGGTCATTGCTTGCTTGCCTTTTTTTATATCTGTCCTCACAGATAAGGTCACATTCCTCTGTTCCCTGGAAAAGTACTAAGAGGCTTTAGCTTAACCTGGACCTAAAACTCAAAACTATAGGCTTTAGAAGACATACAGGTTACAAAGTTAGTCTGATTCTTTCAGTCAGGTGTGGCACTTAGGGCCATAACAGAGCATTCTTCTCAATGGAAACCTAGAACCACATGGGTGGTGTCATTGTGAAAGAGTAGGTGAGCACTGGAAGCCAGGTGATGCTGACTGTTCAGTCAAAGCATCATGCCACCTGGGAAATGGTCTGTATTTGTCAGATTGTCACAGAGTTGCATGATCTGTGGTGATGGCATAGCTACTGCTGCAGCACACTCTTGTCCTGTGAAGTTGGGAGAAACAGAAGGACAGGGTCTGTGCTGAGGGGTTCAAGCATTAGGCAGACATCAGGTTGATGAAGGCAGGAGGCATAGCTGCTGCACTGCATGATTCTTACTACTCTGTCTTGCTTTGCCATCAACAGGTCCATTCACCTGTGTTAGGACAATGATCCTGACAGAGATGAGGCTTTAACATCAAGCCCACAACAGCTTCCCAGCCACAGCTGCACAGGGAAAAACTTGAAACTAGTGATAACTGGAAACTAAGGTCTAGACAGGTTAACAACAGAAACTGATGATTTTTCTGATTTCTCCTCAGTTTCCAACAGTTGCTAGTTAACAGGCTCTACAATTCTTGGTAGTGGATGTCTTCTGAGAGCCAAGCATCAACCGTTCTGTAGTTTCTGTAAATTGTGAAGGAGATGTGCATCCTTGCAGAGCAGGGCAGAGGGAGGAGCCTGGGGAGGCTGAGAGCACAGGGTGGAAGATTGCAGCACGACAGCAAAGGAAGAGAGGAGTCAGATGCTGCTAAATCCCTGTTCCCAAAAGAGGTACAGGAACAGGGATGAGTTGTCCACAAGGTAAAGGCCCTCATCAAAGCGTCCATCTTCCTATCAGGAATCTGTCCCCTCTAAGCTCATTCATTGGACAAAAGAGTTCCAGAAATGTTTACTTCACTGCTGCTTCCCGGTGCTCATTTCAGTCTCCTCCAGGTCACTATTCACAACAGACAGAGGAAGAATCCCATGAAACAAGAGTCTATAAAAATATATATTCAACCTTTGTGAAGAGTGCAGGAGATAGGTTACTTCAGGTCTGTGAGTAAAGAGAGGTAAAATCTCATTTTTTTTTATTGTCCCTTCATGCTCTATGCACTCCCAGGTTTGCTCAGCAAGTGTTAGAATAATGTGTCTGACAAGGACACATGCTGTGGGCAAACTCTGAGATCACTGGCTGGAAAATTATACCAGAGGGTTCTACACGGTCCTTGAAATACCAGGTTCAATATACTGTCCACCAAATATGGAAACTGTGCACAACATCCAGGAATATGGTGACCAGGACCAATGGCTGCAGCACTGCAGTGCAGCCCACATCAGGCCCACATGTTCTCCTGTGGGTTCAGTGTAGAGGACACATGTGGAACTCAGTCTCAACTTTTATGCCGATCCTACTGCATCAGCTCCAACCTCTAGGTTCCTGCCCTGATAGAGACACTGTCCTCAGTTCCTTTTCAGATGAACAGCAATGTGGAAATGCAAGCCAAACACTTTCACCAGAAGGTGGTATGGCCATGGTGTTTCATTATAGAAAAAGTAACTCAATTTAACACCCCTGGTTCTCCATCATTCCTGGGCTGTAGAACATTTGCTGAAATCCCAGACTCACTGTCTGTATCTGACCGTTCCCCTGCTTACACCATGTCCACCAATAGAACATGGTTCTCAGGAACTATACTATATATCTGTTGTCTGAAAGGCAAAATTCAAAACTGTATAAAGTGTGTGTCTTCTGTAAGGAATAAAACATCCCTGAAATAAATGAAGTGAGAGAAGAGGACGTTGATCATGGAAGACTGTCTGAAGCAGGGGAGGGCAGAGAGAGTTGAACGTTTCTAAGCTTTTTTGTTTCTTCCTCAGGGAGGTTCCTGAAAGTGATGAAGGAGTCCTCGAGGCACAGGTATCCCACAGACCCCAGCCTCCCAATGATGCTCTGCCCCAGCGTCACTGCAGAGTTTAACTCATTGAATGAGAAGCTCCAAGACGTTGACTCAGCACATGGATATTACAGGACTCTCATCACAGAACCAATAGAAATGAATCTGAATTTGGTGCACAGTGAACACACCATACTTCAGTGGACTTCAGTTGAGCCATGGAAGGAAACCAGCATGGATAAATCGGTTCTCATCTGATGATGGGAGTAGGAGGTGACCTCTCTGCTTTGCTGTGCTGGGAACATGTTCTTTTATGTATTATTATATGTGAGTGTGTGTGTGTATGTGAGTGTTTGTGAGTGTGTGACTTTCAATATCCATCTTGTGATTGTGATAATATCTTGCCAGGGTGTATCATATAGGACCACAGTGGGGTAAGGATAATAATTATTTCTGTCCTCTGGTATCTGGAAAAGTACCCTTCTAAACTGTGAAAGCTGCCAGTATAGATGAAGCTTCCAGCTGGTACTAGGATGACATCTCCATGTTCTATGACGCAGGTACCTGGTGCCTTCAGCAGTAATATCTGGGTGACACGTCTAGAGGGTAAACTAGAGCACAGGCAATACTCTTCAACATTTAGGCATTGAATGGACCCCACTAGCCAACATCTCAAAAAGAGGTAAACTGTTTCTAGGGCTTTTATTTCCTAGCATGATGTGACTTTTTGGGCATTGCCTCTTGTTATGAGAACTCCATGTTGGTATAATGTTCTTGTGAAATGCATACACTTTACCCTTGTTCATGCTAATATTGATTTCTCTAACCCACCATCTTGTTTCAATCCATACATGGCGTTATGATATTTATTCTAAGCAGCACCTGTCTGAAGTTTGTGTAAACACGCCACCATTTGTTCTCTGTACTGTCAATAAAACAACCAGCCAATGCTGAGCAATGGAGAGTATAGGGTGGGACATCCTAGTCCTGAGGGGAAGAAAAAAATGTGAGTAGGTGCATTTAGACAGTGGAGATCTGCAGGAGAGGACTTGAAGAAGAGGCAAGAGGAGAGATGAACCAGACATAAGATATGACTAAAAGCAATTATAATGTGGGAATTCTGAATGGAGGAAGCTATACAGCCTTGGAGGTTTAGGATGGAGTAACTATTGCCCAGCATTGTGCTCTAGGTTAATTAAATAAATCCTAGTCTCTGTGTAGTGATTTTGGTACAGTTGATTAAGGAATAACCAGTGTTTAACTAAAGGATACATCAATAATAAATATTAACAATCAACAACAACTCCACCTTCTTCTATGTGTATATGTGTATGTACACGTGTATAAGTATTTCAGAAATCTTCTATAGTAGATAGGCATGAGACGTAGTGTGAGTTCAAACATCACTTCCCTATAGAGCATTCTCAACAAACACAGGACAGCTCAGACCTCAGGAAGCTCAGGCCTGTACTTGATGAGCAGGTGCTACAAGTCATGCCGAGGGCTGGCTGATACTGTACTTTGTGGTTTCCTCTTCCTGCTTAGGAATCTTCCCAAGACTCTTCAATATTTCTGTGAAAATACAAGATGGTTTGCTTTTAATACAACATTATTTTCCTGTGGGAAATCTAAGTTACCCATCTGACACTTACCCTATGAATCATTCTTTATTTGTTCATATGTGGAAACAAGCAACACCTATTTTAAACTATGAATTATGTGTAAATGATTACTAAATTACAAAGTGTACCTTACCTGTATTAGCACTCTAAAGCAGGTTGCAAAGGACTTATGCTCTCTTTCAGATGCCAAATGCAATTGTATCCCTCAAGAAGGCACATTAAGTCATTGTCTTTCATATATTCTCTGTTTGAATATTCTGGTAGTTGGTAAAAATGATTTTCCCTGTGAAGTCTCAAGAATAATCCTCTCCCAGATATTACTTGAAATGCACAGTCCTGAAACATATGAGTGTTAATGTCAATTACGCTTCTTTTACTAGTCCTTATCAACTCTTGAAAACGTTTTGATATTTTTCACGGTTTAATGCTATTCACCAAGGATTTGATCACACACACACACACACACACACACACACTTGTGAAAGAATGTATCCCCTAGCCTGGGATAATTAATCTTTATATTTTGTGGGGGAAAAAAACACAATGTCCTTTCCTAAAAGGACACTAACAAGATCACTTCTGACTTTGGTGACTCAGGAGCAGCAGTCAGCACACATTGTTGTCTGTAGACCAATCAACACAGGTAGGTCACAGCAGGTGTGAGAAATGAAGCACAGAGTGTGACTTAATGATGATTGCACGGTAATCTTTAAAAAGTCTTGAAATTCAAATTCATATAAGAAGAATCCTAAGGAATGTTGGCAGAATGTATTTTGAGGGTGTGGGAAGATGTTGGCCAGAACAAGAAATTATAATTGGGTGAATAATGTGATATTGGCAATGTGAACAAAGAGCCTAGGCTTAATGCAGTTGCTATAACTTGTCAAAATAAAAATTTGCTAAAGTTTCATTTGATTGGTCAGCTGAATTGTGGGTCAAAAGATGACCCCTAAAGCAAAGATCCAAAGTATCATTTCCTTTAATCTTGATAATGGGATCCAAAGCTCCAAGAGATAGTAATTTAGGAATGGACTTAGTATATGGAATCTAATCTTCCAACATGGGAGGAAACAGAAGACAGGCCCTTCCCTAGAACTGGGAGAATTTGACTGTGAGAGGAACACCAGGATTCCGGAAGAGCTTTGTACTTGTTCTTCTCTGTAGGCTAGCACAGACAGTGTAAGCCCTGGATAGTCCAATTAAAGGTTATCTTGATGAACGTGAATTTTGGAGAAGCATGAGCCCAGTGACAGCATTTTGATGTCTAAGCAAAACGGAGTGTTCTGACTTAAATGACAGCAGAGCAGAGCATTGACTGCAGTGGTCTTCCCCACATAAACTGATGACAGTGGCTAATTAGCCATGGTGTTCCCTG